CATTGTGATCGATTATCGCGCACTTCCCTCACAAATTCGGATTCGAGGGGCTGAAGTGTGTTGTTGGTAGTTGACTTTAACAGCATGGGGTGCGGGTGCTCCACTCCTGAAACTATTGATGATATCGTATCGCACCACGTAGCTGCTGCAGACAGGCCCAAGCGGCAGAAGGCCACCGAGAGGACTCCTTCTACTACGGCTAGGAAGGTAGGGGGATGGGTAGGGAAAGGGGGAAGCAGTGGAGTTTCATCCGTTTTACGTAGAGTGAAAAACGCGATATTGGCGGTGATATGCAGTAGTAGTGAAATATGTTCTTCACTAGTGTTTTTCATATCACTAGAGTGGTGAAACTCCAATATTGTAATATACGTTCAACAGACACTAGGAGTTTTTTCGCTAATAATGTGCGAACTAGGGTGGAAAGGAAGAAGAATTTCCTCAGAATTTTCATATTTCCTCCAACATTTGTGGTTGCCCCTGTGCATATTGCAATCGGTGGGAAGTGTTGAAGTTGTGGTAGGATGATAAGAAGCGGTATCGCCACGAACTAGCGGTTACAGCAGAATATCAGGACACGGCGAACGCAACAGGTGAGGGAAAAAAGGGAGAAAAATTTCGTGGTAAAATTTAAATTTTGATCAGCACTCACCAACAGGGCGAAGTTGGAGCTGATGGAGCTTACGTCGCGTCATGTTTCTGATGGGCGAGATGACACTGAGAGTAGCAGCTTAAATTCTGAAGCTGTTTTCATAGACCTCACAGTAGTACTCGTACTGCCTTACCAACGTGGAAGGGCTCATCTCAGGTGCCGGTGAGGTCTGCAAAGGCGGAGCTTATGGCAATCCCAGGGACGAGTTCGGAATTCTCTTACGATGTGTATAGTTTGCAATCTAAGGAGGAAGAAGTATTACGGGAGATTGTACGGCCGGATGAGAAGGGGTAGGTGGGGAGGTGGTGGTGATGAAGTTTGGTAATGTGGAGTTTAGGTCGCCACTTGATGCAGCAGCAGATGAGGATAAGGAGAGGTAGGTCCTTGTCGGGGTGGCGAGGGTGATGAGGAGTGGAGCGTTGGTTAGGAAGGGAGGACGGGTGCAGCAAGAGGAAGAGGAAGAGGAGGCAGTGGATGTGGAGGATGTAGTGGTTGAGGAGGGGTAGTAACGGGGAGGGGGGTACTACACAGTGGTTAATAATAGGTTTATGCTACTACTCTTATTACACTGTTGTTAATAATAATAGGTTTATGCTACTACTCTTATTACACTGTTGTTAATAATAATAGGTTTATGCTACTACTCTTATTACACTGTTGTTAATAATAATAGGTTTATGCTACTACTCTTATTACACTGTTGTTAATAATAATAGGTTTATGCTACTACTCTTATTACACTGTTGTTAATAATAATAGGTTTATGCTACTACTCTTATTACACTGTTGTTAGTAATAATAGGTTTATGCTACTACTCTTATTACACTGTTGTTAATAATAATAGGTTTATGCTACTACTCTTATTACACTGTTGTTAATAATAATAGGTTTATGCTACTACTCTTATTACACTGTTGTTAATAATAATGGGTTTATGCTACTACTCTTATTACACTGTTGTTAATAATAATGGGTTTATGCTACTACTCTTATTACACTGTTGTTAATAATAATAGGTTTTCCTTTCAGTACACCTCCTCCCCCTCCTGCCTCCCCTCCGGTTCATCAACTACCAAGGACACAGCCTACCCATCTAGTCAGCCAGGAGCTGCTGCTGGTGGCATCGTCGTCGTCGTCGTCTTGAACTAGATGCTTCACCCTTGTATAGGTTGTTTCCCCTTAACGACTACCAATTTTGTAGTATTTGCCCACCTCCCAGGACTCCTTGTTGGGTTGTCAATGAGGTTGTAGGGCCCCTGGGGTATACCATCTTTTTGACAACTCAGGAGGCGAGCATGGAATGAGTGGTCCAGATTTGTCACTAAATCTGTGTAGTAGTAGTTGGTGTTGTTGTAAGATGATTGGGGTCTCGCAGAAGAGGACGGACACCGCTTATGGGAACTCGTTGGTGGCTCGGAGGGAGTTTACTCGACAGCAGCAGAAGCATAGGGAAACGATAAGGAAGATTCGCTCTAGCATAGGTCAGTCCGGACCTATTTTGTATCTTACTAGCAGCAACCTAAGATACTCGGCCTCCTGCTGATCAAAGACACCTTACGCTGTATGGTCGGGACTATTATGCTAGGAAGCGTAGGAAGGGGCGGCGAGGAAGGGAGGCGTAGTAGAGGTTACTGTAGGTCAAATTAGGGAGTATGCTAACAACGATTTCAAGATGATAAGGAGTATTGCTCGAACTATGCGGCGAGCACCAGAGTTGTTGGTGGGTGTGATTCGAAAATGGAGTGGTACGATAATCATCTCTACAGGGGTCCTCGCGGAGGTCGGGGCCTGTGAGCTTGAATAGGGATAGTAGGAAGAAGGAGCTGTCGAGAATTACAGCGGTAGGGATGAGTGGGCCCTCTGGGGGGAAGGTGGGTATCGTTTTAGGATAACCATGCTATGTTGGACCGCTTGGAGAGGCTGAAACCCTCTTACAGTGTGGCTCATTTGGAGCAAGACTACTTTAGGCAGATGCGGTAGTAAGGTGGTGGGGGGGGCGTTAAGATTTGTGGCGAAGGTGTGGTATCAGCTGAATGAAATATTTGGTGGTTGTATAATTTTGGTGATGATATGAAGTTCACATAGAGAGAATCGACTGTTTTTACTCGGGAAAAAACGTCCGGAAATGTACTAGTGGGAGGGGGTGGAATTTTATATGGTAGGTATATGGTCCAGTCTTGCTCCCATGCGTATAACCGAGGAGGTCGACACCATCCGTTGATTGCTAGATTGCGAGCTCGAGAAGACGCAGCTAGGTGAGGCACGGCTCTTGACGCTTACCCGGGTGGCTCGAGTAGGACGGTTACTGGCAGCTTCGGCTGCTATTTGATGCTGTAATTGAAATAGATCTCCTCTGCTAAGGAGTGGGCTCGCGTGTTGGCTTTGCATTGATATGAACTGGAAATGTTGGTAGGCGGAAATATTTAGAATATGACGATTAGTATCGACTTGAAAACTCTGGTAGCTAGCATGCGGAAGGAATCATTCATCAACAGTTATATACGTCTTGATTGAGCGTTGTGCAGGGCATTAGAGCTAGCCCGGCGGCATCGTTTGAGGAGGAGGCGGAGAGGTCTCTCAATGGGAGTAAGTCGACACCGAACTTAAGGAAGGGGGGCCTCGAGGTGGGTATTTGGGAGGATAGGGTGTTTTCAAGGGATCTACGTTGAGAAGTACAGGGCGTGTAGGGGGCCGTAGCGAATCGGAATGGACTGGGAATGATGAAGATGTGATGAAATGTTGTTGGTCATGCGAAACTGAGCCGGGTGGGAAATGATCTGGGAGGTCAAAGCATTCCCCTGTGATGGGGAGAGAGACTTCTGGAGATGCTCTGTCCCGTATTATTAGGTACCGCCGTCGGCAGCGTCATCGTATGTCTCCTACTCTGAGCCAATACCATGCACTATCGAGGATGTAGCCAGAGTAGTGGTAGAAGATGTATTGCATGCTGTTCTGCCGACTGAAGGCATGGTTGAAAGCAGGTGGAGGTATGCGCCGTCATCATCGCTATTGGGGAGCTGTGGCTTTGCCTCAGGTGTTCCGGACGGGAGGAGGACTCAGAAGAACAGCAGTGGGAATTCCCTTATCGGGTAGGTTCGTGGCTGTGGCGTTTAGGGTGGTCCTTCTTAATCGATCAAGCTTGTGAATGCGTTCCTATGAACTATTGGTCGTTTCGCACTCGATAAGACGCTAGTAGTAGTTCTTTGAGGAAAAGCGGGTATGGCAGTGATACTAGGAGGGGGGCTATTGAGAAATGCCCATAAGTAGAAATCAAGTCTTCGAGTGCTTCTTGATCTAACACATAGCAATTATCGCCGATATGGGGGGTCTATCCGAGGCCATGTGCATGTGTCAGGCTACATCGTCAATAGCCGCTTCCTCTGTGGACGACAGCAGCGCCATAACGGATGAGCCGCATGTGGAAGAGCATACAGCCAGCAGGACTGTTGAAGACCTCATCGATGCCGCTGCGGATCTTTTCACGGATATGGATGGTACGTCTATCGATCTCTTCCCTGTGTGGCAGTCTTCATTCAACAGATGATGATTATTCTGTGGACTTCGAGGTGGAGGAAGAAGAAGAGTCTGTGGGGTAGCCGATTGTGACATCTGCCATGTCAAGTTGAACCTTTGTTGTTCGTGATTATCCATGCTTTGTGTGTTGAGTACTGTTAATGGTAGTTTGTTATCACTAGAACCCTACAGTAGTGATAATTGTATTTCCACCCTTTGTGTCAGAGGCCGAGCCTTCTGCATGCTGACAGGTCAATGAGGAGCTACTCGAGGGCTATGGAGCGTGGCTGAGCTGAGTTGGCTCCTCGCCTTCAGTGTGCTTGGCTCCTGTCCACGACTAGTCGACTTAGTCTGCTCCGCTCAGACTCTGGTGATGGTGCCTCAGGGGGCACTTGTGATTCCCCATAGTGTTGGATTGTTTTAGAGCGATGATCCTTTCACGGTTCAAGAGCATCCACGCAAATGGACAGTAGAGAGACATTCAATATAATAGTCAAGCATGTCTTCGCCACCACCGTCTGCTTGGTGCGAAAAGAGGTCAAAACACCCTTACTCAGAGACATTTGGAGCTCTAACGATAGACCTCGTCCTGTCACTCACTGCATTCTCCCTAGATCGAGTGAAGGGCGGTTCATCTTCAATAATCCCCCTCATCATCATCATCATCGTCCCGTGGTAGTTGCCTGGCCCCTTGGGGATATTTGGGGACCATCTGCCCCCCC